GAACATGCCGTCCATTTTATTTCTTGAATTCTCTAAAATAAGTGCACATTTCACCAATGGAAAAAAAATTCTGTATTCTTGTAGTGGAAAAATTAAAACATAATTCACTATGATAGACTCTACAATCTTTCTAAAATGCCAGAAATCTAGACAGCATGGCAATTTAACTTTTAGATATATATGACACCCATCTGAGGTCTACTCTATGATTTGTATTCAAACATCAAAAGATCTCATAAATACATGGCTACTTTAATAAATCCAGAAAAAAATCTTTCCATCATATGGAAAAAAAAAGTTTTATTTCTCATCTCTACTATATTTTTCAAAAGCTGTATTTCTTGCTTTTGTGGTAAGTCTTGATGAAGACTTTTTAATAGTAACTGAGAAATACAGTGATGGACAGGGAGGCCTGGTGTGCTGCATTTCAAGGAGTCGCAAACAGTTGGACACAACTGAGCTACTGAACTGACTGAGAAATATAGTGCCTTTATAGTATAGTTCTTTATTAAATTTTTTTTACTGTAAATTCATTACTTTGCTCAAGAATTTGACTCTGTCATTCTTGCCACTGTTCAAAATTCTACTGAAACAAATTTATTAATTTTTACCACTTTCTATCCAAATCTTTCATGCTAGTATTTATAAAAATGACTTTTACATATTGAAAAAAACCCAATGTTATATTCATTCATTGAAAGAAAATTTATTATGTGCCTGCTATGTGCCAAGTGTACCATTCTTCGGTTGGGGAAGCAAAAGTGAGCAAAATAGACAAAAACATATACTTTCTTTTACCTTATTTTATGGTGTGGGGAAACAGACAATAAAATAATAAGGAAATCATATTTTTGCCTTAAAAGATGATAATCCCTACAGAGAGAAATATTTACCAGGGTATATAGAAGTTATGACAGGGACCAGACTATGGAAAACTTAATTACTAATGTAAAAGCAGTTACATTGTGATACTGATTTTTATTCAGTTTTACGTGCTTTTATTTCATATGGTTTATTGGTGGGATGCTGCAGTGCATGCTTTCCTATAAAAATGTGATTTAATTCCCCATACAGTCTCATGAAGTAAGATTTGTTACTTCAACTGTACATGTGAGAAAACTCTGATGTGGGGAGATGACTGTCATTCTCCCAGGGAGGAAGCACGCCAGGGGCAGAGCCAGGATCCAAGTCCAGATTTTTGATTCCCAGCCCTGCTCTGTTCTGATGGCTTCCCAGACGCTCTGTGGTAAAGAATCTGCCAGCAATTCGGAAGACTCAGCTTGGATCCCTGGGTTGGGAAGGTCCCCTAGAGAAGGGAATGGCAACCCTCTCCAGTATTCTTGCCTGGAGAATCCCATGGACAGAGGAGCCTGGTGGGCTGCAGTCCATGGGGTCGCGAAGAGCTGGACACAACTGAGCGACTAATATACACACGCACTGCTGTTCTACTCCGTGTCCCTGCATCTGGTCGTTCACCTAGTTTATTACAACACTTTATCCTTAGGAGCGTAGAGACTTCAGGTTTTGAAGTCCTTCCAGTAAAAATGGTAAGTGTTCAGTATGAAACAACTTTCGTGTAGTCTAGCGAAGCAATTTCCGATGGACTTTTCTGCAGATCTCTCAGGAAGAAGGGAGACAGGGAAGTGATTCCGGGTTCAGCCTGTCAAATGCCCGGAAACACACATTCTTTTCTAAATTCTCCCCAGCAGACCCGCAAGTCTCAAGTTCAGTCGTTGTAGTGCTGGCCAGGTTAAATGTATTCTTCCGCTAAAATACATTCTCAAAATCGTAGGCGTCACCAGGAGCTCTCCGGTGACGCTGCTCCGGGCGTTTGATCATCCCGCTCTTGCTGGTGCGGTTGACATAATTGTATTTCACAGACGCAGTGCGAGGCACCTGTTGTCCGACCGGCTGAAACCGCTCTCGCCCCTTGGTATTGGGCCATTCTGCTGATACAGGCTGTTATAAATATTACAAGGACAGGGGCAGTTTGTATTACAGGATAACGTAACCTAATTTGATGGACAAGCTCATTTCCTATTTATTCTCTGTAGTCTGAGACGTGAGTTAAAATGTCAATGTGTTATAAAGGTTATGATAAAATATGACCAGTAATTAATACTCTATTTAGAATATGCTGTCTGTAAGATAATGCTGGTAAGATTATGGTGCTCTTACATAAACTGATCCTGGTTTAGGGGAGGGGTGGGGAGGAGGGATTATATCTTTCAAAATAACAAGAAGGTAAAGTTTGAAAATAGTCTTCTCATGGGAAGTCACTCCTGTGCCTGAGCCAGCTGTAACTGAGAGGAGCATCCTGTGATTGCGAAAGAAAATAATGTTAGAAGGGAATTCTGGATGCTGCATTTTGCTTGAATAACACTGATATATTTGGAAGCATCTGTCTTCTCCTTTCACCTAGACCCACCTTTGTTTATTTTGGCCTCCTGTAGATTCTTGCTACTGGTTCCCTCTGACTCCTGAGTCCAAAGACTCAGCCTGTATTTGGTTTCAAATCCTCCTTCTTAAAAGTTTACCACTGCAAACAATCACAACATTTGCTGAGTAATTATGTTCCAATTTGCAGTTAAATTCTTGAGTCTAAATAGATTCATTATCAATAAAATGCACTCGTTTAACAAGGGGAAATATCTGATCATGTTTTCCCAAAGTACCATGCACAGAATGTGTGATAGCTCGTGATCTCTTCCTTTTGTATTCATCACACACATATTATGAGCTTGTGTTAGCGTGTGCCAGGCGAAGCTCAGACACGGAAACAGTGTTCCTGACTCTTTGCTCTTTATGACTTATGATTATTTTAAAAACACACATATAGCACTTCTTATATGCCAGGCGCATCTCTGTAGCTCAGCTGGTAAAGAATCCGTCTGCAATGTGGGAGATCTGAGTTTGATTTCTGGGTTGGGAAGATCTCCTGGAGAAGGGCGTGGCAACCCACTCCAGTATTTTTGCCTGAAGAATCCCCATAGACAGAGGAGCATGGTGAGCTAGAGTTCATAAGGTCACAAAGAGTCAGACATGACTGAGGGACGAAGCACATATGCCAGGCACAGTTCTAAGCACTTTACAAATACTAACTCCTTAATCCTCGAAGCAGCCTTAGGAAGAAGGTACTGTCCAAGGTCATAGGATTAGTGCTGGTGGAACCAAGAGATTCAGAGCTGGCATCCTGGCTGCAGATTTTGTGTCCTTCTCCACTATACCATGCTTTGTAGATTGATTTTCATATAGCCATCCTATGTAAGCAATGAAAAACAGAATATGGTGCCTGCCTTCAAAGGATTCACAAGCTAAATCTGTTTCTTCTTTCTTTTCATATTTATCTTCAAAGATCAGATCTTGATAGAGCATTATGGTCCATTATTTTACTTGATATGGTCATTTATTGAATATGTACAATGTTTACCAAAGACACAGGGACAATGCAGGCTGCATATTAAGGAACTCAAATCAGAGAGACACACCATTTTGTAAGTGCTGATGGAAGGATGTTTGTCAATGAAAATTTTCCAAAGAAGTACTGTTTGATTTGGAGTTTGCTAAATGGAAGAATGGAGAGAGAGGAAGGAATTGTTGTTAGAAGGCACAGGGGCATCTATATGAAGCAGCAGGTTAGGATTAGGAATGGAAATGATTAAAAATGTGACATGACCAGAGAAGTATGATGGGGTTTAAGTTCAAGTGGCCTGCATTCTGTGATAAAGATGTGGAATTGATTCAGTCAGAAATGGGAAATAATGAAGAAATTTAAGGAGTGCAAATTATGTTTGAGAGCCACGAAATGGACAATTTGATTCAGAGCTGCCACTAAAAGTAGTGTGGATTCCTAATTTCATTTTTTACCTCTTTCCCCTCATCTGCCTTCTCCAACCCTTTGTCTCCTCTTCTTTGGCCTCTCCCATTTTTTTCTTTTTGCCCTAATCTCCACCCAGTCTTATCATTCCCTTCAGTAGTAAAAAATGTCTACTTTATCAGGGTTTAATCACAAATTTTCAGGAAAACACACAGTATCTGCATTAGACCACATGTGTATGTGTGTCTGTATTTTAGTCGTTCAGTCCTGTCTGATTCTTTGTAATCCCATGGACTGTAGACTGCCAGGCCCTCTGTCCATGGAATTCTTCAGGCAAGAACTCCGCAGTGGATAACCATTCCCTCCTCCAGAGAATCTTCCCGACCCAGGGATCAACCCGAGTCTCCTGCATTGCAGACAGATTCTTTACTGTCCTAGTCACTAGGAATGACTTAAACCATGTAATGAATTTCATTGTCAGCATTCTTTCTACTTGCCAATTCAAAACTTCCCTTTTGTTAATGATACTTCAAACATCATTGTGAGAAAGAATATTTATTTGGAGGAGCTGTCAACTGCTGAAGGAAGAGCCTAAAATTATGGTTCTTGAGTGATACCCTCCTCTTCTCACATGAAGATCCATCCTGCCTCAGTGAGAGGCACTGAAATTTTGCTGCATCCGGATGGAGAGAAGCGACAGCATCGTGCCTGCAAAGAGCTCTGGGATTGCTTTTCAGCTGTCCCCCATGTCCTTCAGGCACGAAACCCATCCTCCCTGGGTCTTTTCCCTCTACTGTGTTTACCTAAAAGAACTGTTAAAAGATAAGGCAGCTGGAACTATTACAGAAAAGCACAACGCAGATGAAAAGCATTGCTATTAATTTCTATTTTTCAGGCAGAGTTGAGCTCGGTATTTCTATACCACAGTATTCCTCCAGGAACTCTGTATTTTAATGGCCTGAAATCTTCATCTTTCTGGAATAGTGAGAAAAATACAGTTCACCTTCAGTTCTCGCAAATGAGGTTGCTTTCGTCCTTGTGCGCCTTTCAGAGCATTGCCAGAGAAAACCTTCAAAGACAACTTTCTGAATGGCTCCTGATTTACATTAATGATCTCCTTCAAGGAAAATGTGCTCCTTTTTTCCTCTTGAATTTTTATACCTTCTTTTTTTTTTGTCTGTAGATCGAACAGTCAGTTGAGACCCACTTCAGCAGCCGTGGCAGAAGGGCTGTTCTCTACAGGCCTTCTTCCTCCAGCCAAAGGGAGCTTCAGCTCCACCAGAGCATTCTCACTCAGCATCAGTATATGGTTGTCATCTCTGAAGAAAGCCTCGGCGCCGACCCTGGGCTCCTAGAAAAAGGTCAGAGTCAGAAGTAATTACCAAAGTTGCTTGTCATCTAGTGTAAATACTTCCTGGAATGTGCTACTGTCTTCCTCTAAAAAAATTCGCAAGAACAAATTTTTACCCATGATCAACTTTGTTGCACTGTAGAAAACTTGGATTCTTTTCTAGCTTCCTTTCCATTCTCCTTTAGCTGCATTTCTTTATTCCTGAAATTATTTTGTTTATATTTTGCAGCATTTTGGAGTTACATAGTTCATCTTTAAATGCTGCATAAAAAATGTTTATGTTTATGAGCCTGAATACATATTCTGCCCAGCACCAAACTGCTCCATATTTTAAGAAAATTGCCACTTCATCTGACTGCAAGTAGAATGTGCTGGAAATTGTTTTGAGAAGCCAGCTTAAATGTGAATCACAGATTGGCTCTAAATGTGGAAGAAGTGTGGATATTTATCTCACACACTGTAGTCAAGTACTTTTTATTTCTATCATTTGAAGTGAAAAATAAGAGACAAGTTCTTAAATAAGTTATTTGAAAAGGAAGTTGAGTAGATGATGAGGGTCAAAAAGGGCAGTAACAATAACAGCTGACAGATCTTCAGCGACTAACCATGTGACATATTGTGTTCTATATTCATGGCCTCATTTAATCCTCACTGAAAGCCTCTGAGTACCCCAAGAAAAGATACGTGCACCCCAGTGTTTATTGCACATTATTTACAATAGCCAGGACATGGAAGCAACTTAAATGTTCATCAGCAGAGGCATGGATAAAGAAGATATGGTGCATATATACAATGGAATGTTACTTAGCCATAAAACAGAACACAGTGGTGCCATTTGCAGAGACCTGGATAGAGCTGTCCAGGTCTGTGTGAGACTGTCACACAGAATTAAGTAAGTCAGAAAGAGAAAAACAGATTAGTATAATATCGCATGTATGTGGAATCTAGAAAAATGGTGTACATGAACTTATTTGCCAAGGGGAAATAGAGACACACACATATGGATGTGAGAGTTGGAGTATAAAGAAAGCTGAGCACCGAAGAATTGACGCTTTTGAACTGTGGTGTTGGAGAAGACTCTTGAGAGTCCCTTGGACTGCAAGGAGATCCAACCAGTCCATCCTAAAGGAGATCAATCCTGACTGTTCATTGGAAGGACTGATGCTGAAGCTGAAACTCCAATACTTTGGCCACCTCATGTGAAGAGCTGACTCATTGGAAAAGACCCTGATGCTGGGAAAGATTGAGGGCAGGAGGAGAAGGGGACGACAGAGGATGAGATGGTTGGATGGCATCATCGACTCGATGGACATGGGTTTGGGTGGACTCCGGGAGTTGGTGATGGACAGGGAGGCCTGGCGTGCTGCGGTTCATGGGACTGCAAAGAGTTGGACATGACTGAGCGACTGAACTGAACGCAGAGAACAAATGTAGGGACACCAAGGGATAAGCGGCGGGGGCAGGGGAGGGTGTGTGGAATTAACTGGGAGAGTGGAGTTGACATATATGCACTACTATGTATAAAATAGATAACTAGTGAGAGCCTACTGTATACACAGGGAACTCTGATCAGTGCTCTGTGTGTGTGCTTAGTCATTCAGTCATGTCTAGCTCTTTTCGACGCCATGGACTGCAGCCCACCAGGCTCCTTGGTCCGTGGGGATTCTCCAGGTAAGAATATTGGAGTGGGTTGCTATGCCTTCCTCCAGGGGATTGTCCTGATCCAGGGATCAAACCCGGGTCTCCTGCATTGCAGCTGGATTTGTCACTGTCTGAGGCAGCAGGGAAGCCCAAGAACGTGAAGTGAGTAGCCTATCCCTTCTCCAGGGGATCTTCCCAACCCAGGAATTGAACCAGGGTCTCCTGCATTGCAGGTGGGTTCTTTACCAGCTGAGCCACCCAGTAAATGCTCTGTGGTGACCTCAAAATGGGAAGGAAATCTATAAAAGAATAGATATATGTATAACTGACTCACTTTGCTGCATGGCAGAAACTAACACAGCATTATAAAGCAGCTATACTCCAATAAATTTCAGCAAGAAATATTCATCCCTCCCCCACTTGCAGAAGAGGAACCCAAGGCTTGGAAATGTTCAGGGACGACCTTGTATCTTAAACTGCAGTGATGGAGGGGCAGTGTCTGAAGCCCCCAGATTCCAGGTCTCACTTCTGTGCTCGTCCTCTTCATCTCCATGTTACTCACTCCCTCTTTTGACCCCTTTGTTGTTGTTCAGTCGCTAAGTTACGTCTGACTCTTTGTGACCCTGTGAACTGCAGCACGCCAGGCTTCCCTGTTGTTTACTATCTCCCAGAGCTTACTCAAACTCGTGTCCATTGAGTTGGTGGTGTCATTCAACCAACTCATCCTCTTGCCATCCCCTTTTCTTCCTACCTTCAGTCTTTCCTAGCATCAGGGTCTTTTCCTGCATTGCTACTGCTAAGTCACTTCAGTTGTGTGTGACCCCATGCCTGGGATTCTCCAGGCAAGAACACTGGAGTGGGTTGCCATTTCCTTCTCCAGTGCATGAAAGTGAAAAGTGAAAGTGAAGTCGCTCAGTCATGTCTGACTCTCCGCGACCCCATGGACTGCAGCCTGCCAGGCTCCTCCGTCCATGGCCTTTTCCAGGCAAGAGGACTGGAGTGGGGTGCCAGTGCCTATCGATCATTATTACAGCTACCAGGACGTGGAGCACTCACCCGCTGTGGGCCAATTAGAGTTTTTTCTTTAGGATGGCAAAGTGTGTGTTTGCTTTCCTTCTTATCAAAAGGGAGGAGAGGAAAAGCAATTTGAATCAACTGCTGGTCTCCATGGTGTTTTCCTCGGGGACAAAATAGATCCTGGTGCCACAATAATTTTCATTTTTCATTTCAGTGTCAGCCATCCTGACATCCTCATAACACATGCTTTTCAATTAGGTCCCCCCCTTGCCCTTTAATGGTTTCCCTTGTGGCTGGTAAAGAATCTGCCTGCAATGTGGGAGACCTGGGTTTGATCCCTGAGTTGGGAAGATCCCTTGGAGAAGGGAAAGGCTACCCACTTCAGTATTTTGGCCTGGAGAATTCCATGGGCTGTATAGTCCATGGGATCACAAAGAGTTGGACACAACTGAGACTGAGCGACTTTCACTTTCACTTTTGCTTTTTAAAATGCTAGTTTATGTTGGTCATGAAAGAGGCTTGGAACACTTAGTCATGATCACTCTTTACCACCATTTTTTTTTACAATGTTGATGATAAAGTTATAAGCTACTTCACTAACAAAGCTCTCAGGGAAAAAAGCCTCAAAAGATCTACTTTGATGAAAAGAAAGGACAGAATATAAGCAGAATATAAGCCATTAGAACAGGTCTTCAGGAATACCACTAGCCGGCCTCTGCCCCAAGAGGTATGTTAATCTAGAGCTTTTGGAAGCAAATGAGAAAAGCAAAAGGGAAGATGAAAGCCCTGGAAAAATCGAAGCAGCTGGAAACAAAGTTTACAAACCTCACTGAGGTTGGTTCTAAGGAGGACCTGTCTGAAGTCTAAAGTACTTTGGCCACCTGATGCAAAGAACTGACTCATTGGAAAAGACCCTGCTGCTGGGAAAGATTGAAAGCAGGAGGAGAAGGGGACGACAGAGGATGAGGTGGTTGGATGGCATCACCGACTTGATGGACATGAGTTTGAGCAAGCTCTGGGAGTTGGTGATGGACAGGGAGGCCTGGCGTGCTGCAGTTCATGGGGTCGCAAAGAGTCTGACACGACTGAGCGACTGAACTGAACTGAACTGAAAGTTCTAAAACATCCATAAATGATATTGTCAGAACACCATTGATCAGAATAGCTGTCAATCTTAAGGAAAGATATAAAACACTTTGTCTTCCTCTCATCCTATACATTATTTTAGCCCACTGCTGAACAAGGTGATTGTATTAGCACCACCCTCGTGCCACATGAGCTGTGGTCCTAGAATCCTGCAAAGCCTTGACCCTGATAACACAACACTATTGTCTGAAATCCACATGTTTTCTGCCTCTTTGGTGCTGCTACTCATTCTATATGGGCACAACATGGGTTATCTGTGCTTTCAACTTCAATTTCCATTTTATCCACCCGCAAAACAAGGAATATGTCTCTTCTCTCCCTTGATGTCCTTTGGGTCAGTTTTATAAGAAAAAAGAGAATTACTTTGCAGCTTCCAAATACCAAGAAAGTGCAAAGGAAGCCTGAAGGCAATCGAATCTGGCAGCCAGAGGAGCTGCTGGGCACAGTAGCGCAAGATAACTAGAGGGTCTCACCGGAATTTGTCAGCTTAAATACTGATTTGGCTCCCTTTCCCTACATTTCCTCAGTTTTGAAAACATCCACTGCTTCTTTCTTGCTGTTCTTTTGCTTTATATAGTAAGATATTATTCCTGGATAGGCCTCAAGAAAGGTTAGCAATTTCATAAGTTTGAGATATTATTGGTTCCTCATTTGATTTTGTAGTTTTCATTGTGATAGCCTGTGTGTATCAAATACCCGAGATAAAAAATTTCCGTGACCATTATCTAATATGTCTCTGATTATCTCATGTATAGAAAAAAAGCCACTTTTTAAATTGCAGCTTCTTTTCCATGGCCACACATTTAATCTATAGACTGTTCGAATTGAAGCACTTACTGTCAAAAATATTTTCTTGAGATTTAATTCGTGTAAAATTTTTTTTTGCTCTAGTTTCACATATTCAACCTATGCTTGTCTTACTATGTGTATAGTAGCAGAGAGTGGGACCCTAAATTGGCCCCTTTAAACTTCATCTCCCCATGCTAAGCAGCTTGGTGGAAGTGAAAGCAATTCAGAATGATGTGGAGACCTACTCTCCATATCTTTCTTTTCATCATTTGCTGTTGCTTACCTGAGATTTTAAAAGATTACATTGAAAACAAAAGAGGCACTCCTACAAATATTATAAAGTACCAAGTGTAGAGTTGACGCATTTATAAAACACATTCTTGGTCCTAGGAAAATAAATATAAAACTCATTTTCCC